ACGTCTGAGGTAAAACCCAAGAGACTAATGAAAGGGGGATACTTCCCTGTGAAAATTGCTTGAATCAGGATCGAGTTCGACCTATGATTGAACGTTGTAACCGGAGAAGGTCCGGGAGGTATCATGCCTGAACCTTCTTCCTAGATCATCAACGACAATCGAAGCTTGGTGAGATGAATGGTAATCTAAGGTATGGTTTTTGCCTAAAATCGAAAAAGAAAATGACCTCTGATGGCTACTACTATGGTTTTATCCTAATTGATGAAATCCTCTATTCTCGCTAAGGAGATAACGATTAGTAGATTAGGCAATGCTCTAGATCTATGGGTGGAGAGATGGAGGTGATAGAAATGAAGAATGGATAATGAGAGGGAAAAAGGATGAAGGAGAGAGACAGATCGAAATTGAGTGAAGGGGGAGAGAGAAAGAGAAACCGTTGGAAAACTGATTAGGGGGGGATGTCGCTCTTCTACTGCCACTATCAAGAAGAAGAGGACGATGAGAGTATCTTTGGCTAAAATTTGGAAGGATGGGGTTTTTGGACATTATGGGTTGATTGGTGGGGTTGAATTGGGCCAAGTGGGTCCGGATCTGGTAGATTTGGAAAAGAGCTTGATTCAATCAATCCGAAGCCTCGAAACAAAATATTTATGCGACAGAGGGGCAAACAAGGGTATTTTGGGTAGAAATTGGTTGGTAGTAATGTCTGATCGACTCAACGATGTCAAGATCGTGGGATTTTGGGTTAACTATAGGATCTAGAACAAAATCTTGGTTTGATGGAAGGTTAAACGAGAGAATCTTGGGTTGAAAGTTAACTTTATGGGTAGTTGTTTTGGTGTGTCTAGGGCTCGATTGTATGATTTGATTGGCTAAGATGTGTTTGGATCAAGGGGATTTAGGTAGTAGGTGTTTTAAGCTAATGAGAGAGCTTAAAATGGAATCTTTGCTTGATGAAAGGGTAAATGAAGGAATTTTGAGTTGAAATTTGCTAGGTGTATATTTTGGGAGGTCTTGAGTCCGAGGGTGGTATCTGATTTGAGGGTCAAAGTGTAGATGAGGGTTTGATCGGGCCATCGGATTAGTATCGGGTATATTTAATGGTGGATTTCAGGGCTTTCGTGGCAAAATTTGGGCTCTTTGGGTTATTTGGTGTTTCAAAGGGATTGAAAGGGCTTGATCGGGAATTTTGGGCAAGTTAAAGGCTCCGGCAGCGGACCGAACAAAAATCAAGTGCTGACACATATGAACTTATGGGCTATATTACCTAGAGAAAAGCCTCATTGGTCTTCATTTCAAAACTCATATCTATATATATAACCTAAAAGCAAAAGGATGTATGGTCGATTGCTGAGCATTTTCTAAATGGAATCCTTTTTTATATAATCTAAATGCAGGAATTTTGAGTTGAGATTTGCTAGGTGTATATTTTGGGAGGTCTTGAGTCCGAGGGTGATGTCTGATTTGAGGGTCAAAGTGTAGATGAGGGTTTGATCGGGGCCACCGGATTAGTATTGGGTATATTTAATGGTGGATTTCAATGCTTTCGTGGCAAAATTTGGGCTATTTAGGTTATTTGGTGTTTCAAAGGGATCGAAAGGGCTTGATCGGGAATTTTGGGCAAGTTAAAGGCTCAGGCAGCGGACCGAACAAAAATCAAGTGCTAACACATATGAACTTATGGGCTATATTACCTAGAGAAAAGCCTCATTGGGCTTCATTTCAAAACTCATATCTATATATATAACCTAAAAGCAAAAGGATGTATCATCGATTGCTGAGCATTTGCTAAATGGAATCTTTTTTTATATAATCTAAATGAAATCTTATGATCTTATAATCTTTTCCTTTTCATGCTTTTAACCATTACCATTAGTCCATTACAAATTTAATTAATTACAATGATGCCATTGAATAAAACTAGAAAGCAATCTCAACTTGCCCTTTCTCCTTTTCTTCTTTCATATTTAATACTAAACATGTATTATTTACAATGGTGCCACTACTAACTATTTGCAATGATGCCACTAAATTTTTACATTTTTCATATTTGTTAAAAATTGTCTTTATCTCTCATTTTATTTCCAATCGGATCGTGTTGGGCCATGCTTCCCTTCCCTAGGATACTTTAGGGGGTCGGCCCGTCACAACCCTCGGCTCAAGCCCGCGCAAGCCTGTGTCATGCCACAAATTTTGAAAATAATAATGAAAATTTTAACATAAATTAAATTAAATAGACAAAATTAAAGAAAGATCTTAAAATTTTATTTTATATGAATTTTGAAGCGTACAATTGTTTATATATGAAGTAATATAATAAAATTGAAAATAAAATTATATATATTAATATATTATATAATTATTGTATGTAATATACGGCCCAAGCCTGCGTGCCACGGGCCTGGCTTGTCCGCGGGTCAAGTCTTAAGCCAAGCTGGGCCATGAACCAAGCTAAGCCATGTTTTTTAATAATTTTGAAAAAAAATGAAAATTTTAACATAAATTATAAAATAGACAAAACAATAAAGATCTTAAAGTTTTATTTTAGCCCGAGCTGACACGGGCCAGGCTGGTCCATGGGCCAAGTCTTAGGCTAGGCCAAGCCACAAATCGGGCTAAGCCTACTCATTGGCTCAGTAGCCCAATAGTTCAGCCCAACCCATTAACAACGTTAAATTAATTAATTAAATAATTTGAGATAGCCTTTACCAATCTTGTGTTGATAATACATAAAGTTCTATTTATTTATTTATTTTACTAAATTATTTAATAAGTTAATAATTTAATAATCTAACAAATTATTATTGCTAGCAAAGTAAGACATAGAATCGTGTATATATTTATATATATTTACTCTTTCATTTTATTGTCTATTTATCTCATTTATTTTATAAATTTATTTATTTATTAAATTAAATTCATTATTATTTAACTATTTACAATTATTCCACTATATAAAACAAAAATACAATGACAAAAGTCATCTCTCCCTCTTTCACTCTATTGCCCGATGGCCGAGATTATTTATTTATTTATTGTTTTATTTTCTTAAATTAAATATATTATTATCCATAAATTTTTATTTATTTTAAATTGATATTTTTCCAATAAACTTTTAATTAAAAAAATTACCTTTCGCAAATTTTTTCTATATAATATTTTACCTTTGATAAGCCACTTACCATCATGTTTCGCCCCTACAATGTAGGGGCTCTGTGCTAGTATTCATTAAAAAGTAGCTTTGTTTCAAGAATGTTATATATATGGAAAAATCTATGATGGTGGAAAGACATCATATCAAAAAGGCCTTGACCAATCACAACCCCTATGAATTTTGGTGAAAACCAACCTGATTGGTTCCTTCTTTTGTGATGTCGGTTTATTAATTGTAAGCTCTTCTATCATCATGGACGAACCCATATTATATATCCATACTATCTATAAAAGTAGAACAGATGTGTGTTGGCTTTTGAAATTTTCACTTGACTAAAATACCCCATCTCGAAGGTTCGAATCAGAGAAGGAGCAATGGTAAATATGTATTTTTATTTCCTCATTTAATGCTTATTAGGAAATGACTCTTCTTTCTCATTTAATGCTTATTACAAAAAAAAGACACAAAACTCTATTCTTTTTGTTTATAATTGTAAAGCAAGCCAATGGTAAAAATGTTATTTAACATTTCCATTTAATGCTTATTAGTGAAAATACACACAAGTCCCTCTTGAAGTTTCTGACCGTTGCCCAAACTTCCCCTGAAATTTGGTAATTACAATCAGCTCCCATAACCCTTTGTAAAATCCTCTAAAAAGAGGCATGAAAATGTCCAAAATACCTATGTAATTATTATTGAAGCTGGTTTATACATAAAAATAATATAAATGTTTTGAACAACAAAAAAAAGAGAGTTTAAAGTTACAATTTCACTTTGAACAATTTATATGAAGGGTAAATTTGAAAAATACATCGATAAAAAAGAGATTAGAATGGATTGGGCCATTAGGGTAGTGATTGATATGAAGAAAACATTGGGAAAATAAACATTTTGGTAAAAAGTAACTACATGGGTATTTTGGTCATTCTTGTGCTGCTTTGTTAGTAGATTCTACCAGATGGTCTACTTGCAACTGTCTCAAAAAGTTCATGGGAGGTGATTGCATTTACCACTGGGGGGGTTCAGAAATGATAAAAAAATTTATGAGAGATTTTAGCAACTTATCCTTTCATTTATTTAAACTAAAAAAAAAAAAAAAACTAAAGGTACATATTTTGTTCTCAATAGCCGATGTTGGGTCATATTAACCACCATGAAGAGATTTCCAACTTGCAAATAGATGAACAATTTACTCTTTAAACTTTTTTTGTTATTTTTTACTGTTTTTTTCATTGGTTCAGTTTTTCATCATTAAGGTAGCGTATGCTTTTTCTCTTTTTTATTCCCATCATATGATAGGTTAATTTTTCATTTCTGCTACCTTAAAGAAGACATTATCAGATGGCAAGATATCTACAAGAGTAAATGATATTTTTTATAGATCATTGTAAGATTTTCAGCAATTGAAGGAGTTTGAAGTGGGATTTATCATATAGAAGTTAAGTGTTACAAAAGTAAAGAGAACTCGAATAAAATTCTGATGAAGGTAATTGATAAAAATTATTAATTTTATTAATGAATTAAGAATTCTATGAATGATAAATAGGAATAATAACAATTTTATTAATGATAAACAAGAAATATAAGAATTTTATTAATTCTCGTTATCTTTGCAAGAATTTTAGTTGGACATATTATATTAATGCACCATAAAAATATAAAAGATTATAAAAAATTGAAAATATATTATATACTTTTATGATTACAAATTTTGTCACAAAACAAATACTAGTGTGCATATATATATATAAGCTTATAATTGTGAGATTGGCAGACTTACCAAGGTTAAATGCAGCTGAAAATAGCAAAAAAAATCTTATCTTTGAAATTTGAATGTTCCAAAACATTTCACCATTGCAAAGCTTTTTCTTTCATTGACATTACAGAGTCCAAAGCACTGAATTACATAAAATTGTTATATAATGATCACCATGAGTGCAAAAGAATTCGTACAACAAAGCAAAGAACCAAGAAATAAAGAAAATCAATAAAGGGAAAATATATTGGAAACCTCTACATGTTTAGCCCCTTTCGAATGGGAACCAATTATAGTTTAAACAGCAAATCATCTATAATTAACCAATGCTATCATGGGATTAAAGGCAGGTCCTCTGAAAGTCTAAAACCAACCTCATCCAACCCACGAAAAGCACACTTTGAATTAAAAGAATAAATCAGAACTTTGTAAAACAAAAATGAATGTGTCAGCACCCAAACTTGTATCTACAAACTCCCGCCATATTTTCCCCATCTCTAACTCTCTATGGCTGATGATACTCACCATGCAAAACCATCCAATGGATCTCTCCATCTTGGGTTGGAAGAATAAGAGCTCTTCTGCAACTCCCAACCAGCCTTTTCTACATATAATTCTAACCATCTATTCTCTGTTTATAAATCAGTCATCGCAGTCCAAACCACAAACTTCTAATACAGGACCGTCCTTAGACAAAAATGGATTGATCCGAACCCATAAAAGTGAGAATATTGAGGCAAGAAGAATCGACCAAACAACAATGATGGTTGGTAGCCTATCCTGCTTTCCCATCAATCCCTTGAGGAATGGATAGAGATGGACAATGACCCAGAAGGCAAAAAACAGTTTACCAAACAATGGGCCCCATGATTCATACCCATTATTGATGGCATCCGAGACTCCAACCGCCACCCCAATTATGTTGATGATCAGCAACGTCATGGGAGGGATCAACAACGACGTCCATTTGAAGAGGTAAAGTTCTGAAAATTCGCCATCATCTCCTGCTTTAGATGTTACCGTGAAGTTTGTGTTTACACCAGCTAAAACCTTGAGCAGACCCTGGAAGAGAGCAAAAAGGTGCGATGAAACACCACCAATCACCCAAAACTGCTCGTTTCTCCACAAGTCATCTATTTGTACACGTCCCCACTGCATCTCGAGAATACTTGTTGCAGCAATGGATATGAACAGAGCCATGAAAACAATGGCAGCATAGTTACTAATCTGTACAGGAAAAAGAAAAAGAAAAGAAATTTGTTGTCAGCCAAAAGCCTTTAGTTGAATCAACCAACCGTTGTGCAATAGTAGGACACATCCAACTACTAGAACACCAATTGGACATGGTCTACACTAGCATCAAGAAACCCATGATTCACATGGAAGTGCAATTTGTAAAAAAGCTTAGTTAATACATCTCTAACTATCTTATTATGTTACATAAACTCATGAAGACCATTACCCATAAAGAACTTGTATTGAAAGAGAGATGCAGTTTAGAAGTACCTCGGGGACAATGAAATTTCCAGTAAGGAGGCACACAGCCGGCAGGGTACAATATGCAATCAAAGGAATGGATGTCAAAGGATATACAACTGCATTTATATAGTTGAATCTCTCCAACCATTTCAAACCGCACCCATAGCCATACCAAATTGGGCAATGCTTGCTCAGTAATATCTCTACAGATCCAAGGGCCCAACGAAGAACCTGGTGCAAACGATCTGAGAGGTTGATGGGAGCCGATCCTTTGAATGCAGGCTTCTTAGGCATGCAGTACACAGACCGCCAGCCATGGCAGTGCATCTTGAAGCCTGTTAGAATATCCTCCGTAACAGAGCCATATATCCAGCCAACCTGATTCAGTAGTGAAAACTTAGACAGGTGGTTAACAAGAAACCTCATAGAGCTTTTCAATCCACCAATTATGTAGATCACCTACCTCTTTTCCCCATTCTGTTTTATCTTCATAACCACAACTAATTACATGGATGGCTTCTTTTAACAAAGATGCAGAGCTTGCTTCCTGATGAATTCCTCCGTTTTCTAAAAGTGTGGAAGCTATAAATACCGGAGATTGCCCAAACTTTTTCTCAAATTTCATTTGGGACATGAGGGATGATTTCTCATTGTCTATTCCTGCCATGTATAAATTATTAGTAATATTACTAGTTGAAACATTTAAAAGCAATCACAAACCTGTAGTAAAGCCATTTGTGTTAAAAATCAACTCCTTACCTTCAATTCCCTCTTCAATATTTTCAAGTGCATGTATCTGAGTTGATGCTTCCCAGTGCTTTGGCTTCTTCTTCTTTTCCTTCCTTGTCTTTATTTTCTTATTCTTTCTGGACCCACAACACAGGCAACACCATTTAGGCCAACAGTTGCATGTTTTTCCTGGAGGCTTCTCCTTTACAGGGGCATCATATCCATATAGAGCTTGCCTTCTGAAAACACACCCCGTTCCAACATATATTGGCCCTTGGATCCCATCTAGACCCTTCATGTTAATCTGTTTTTCAAATAGGAACAAGGTTGGTAATTTGAACAAAACAAAGAGAAAAATGTAGCAGGTTCAACAGTAAGTGTTACATACATCAAAGAACACAACATTGCGATTTGAATATCTGTCGTGACGATCAATTCCATCAAACCGCTGAGGAAACTGCACATAGCAGACTTTCTTTCCAGATATGGGATCCATCATAAAGCACATAGCCTCTCTGAGGGCCTTGCTGTTATTTATATAGTGATCACAATCAACATTCAGAAGGTAAGGAGCATTGGAAAGGACCGCTGAGACCCTCACCTTCAAAAGTCATCCATAGAATAAATCAGTGCTCAAGAAAATCTGGAGTGCTGAATTCTATAAAAGCATTATAAAATTAAGACCACATTTATTTGATTAGAAAAGGAAAGGGAAAACCAAAAGGAAGAAAAGCAAAATAATCAGAAGTCCATGGCAATCAAAAAGAAAATAAAAAAAAAAATAGCATTTATCAGAGCATTCTTGATCTCAGCTTAGTAGAATCTAGGAAAGTGTATTAATTATCAAAACAAGAATTTGATGAGGGAGGGGGGGAATTGAATAAACAGTATTCTAAAACCGATTAACATAGAAAGAGTTTAAACTTTACCAAAGAATTCATAGCCCCAGCTTTTTTGTGGTGATCAAATCCTGGTCTCTTCTCACGAGAAACATAAACTAGACGTGGTAGCATATTTCCTTCAACATCACGTACACCATCATGCCCAAGGAATACCTGTTGGAAAATGCATGGATTTTACTTAGAAACACCAGCAGTTTTCATTACCTTAGCTCCACAGAGTTATCAAAGCCAGCTTGGGTTAGCATACTCTAATGTGTTCTGTTATTTATAATAGATTTTCCTTAAAATATTGGCAATATTATGCTTGGCCATACTTCTGTAGATAGTGCATAAAACACACTATAGCATTCAAATTTTTTCAAAACTGAAAGGAGCTACAACCTATTTTTCACATTTCACAGATCTCCTCTCTTCCCCTTTCAATCCACAAAAAAAAAAAAATGCTTCAAGGGAACAAGAGCAAAATAGCTTCTTCATAAAGAATTGGGTTTTACTTTCTCCAGAATGAAGCACCATAACATTATCCACCATAGATTATGTTCAGAAGGGCTAATATATGGAAATACAAAAATAAAAACAGAAAACCAACTGGAGAGGATGTAATAAAACATTAATCAGACAAGCAACTTCATAACCACTGGTTCTTCAGACCAACAAAGAAACAAAAAAGCATAAAGGAGTATTCATTACCTGGATCATTCCTGGATGATCCCGTAAATTGTTCCCTGGCCATGGGGTTCCATCTTGCATTGTCCAGCCATCCTCGGGAACCTTCTGTGCCATGGCAACCAACCCATTTATCCGAACCTTGAACTCTTCATATTCTCTCTGTACGCAAACAAGGATGCAATCAAAAGAGAACCTTCAGAAGGTATCTTAAGACTCAATTTTTGGACCATATGATAAGGAGAATAAGAAATACATGACATGTCTAATTTAGCAGGGCCCATATTACCAAAAACAAGCAGGGCCCACGTACACCTAGGCACATAAAAGCAAATGAACACCTATTAACATATGGACAACAATCTACTATGAGGGAGACCCTTGAATTTTCTATAGACAACTGACCACAAGCACATAATGCCTGGTCTCCCCAACACCTCTTCCCCTGAGCTAGACACATTAACAAAAATTAAAAACTTCTCGGTGCTTTCCATTCTGCAATAAAAAGTTTAAAAACTATTTTTCAAAGCTTCTTTCTTTGTAATTGTGCACTTGTTGAATCTAGAAGAAATGGACATCCAAAAATAAATTGTTTAACAAGGCAAGACAACAAACTATACTGGATTATGGATACAGACCTTCATTGCACGTCGTTCCCTCACAAAGGTTGGGTGGACTTTATCCTTTAAATAGTCAATCTTCTGAGCAAAGTACCATTCTGGAGCCCGGGGCTCAATATTAAACTTCTTACAGAATGGAACCCACTTCCTTGCAAACTCGGAAGTCTCAGAAAGGGCTTCAAAAGTAAGCATTGCAGCACCATCATCTGAGACATAGCATGAGACTTTGTCGACTGGATAATCCACAGCTAGGATGGATAAAACAGTGTTTGCAGTGATGAGAGGTGGCTCCTTCATAGGATCAACTGTACTTACAAAAATGTCTAGGTCAGCCAATTCAGACGGCTTCCCTTCCTTCTCATACCTGTAAACAAATGTTACAATGGAGCTAAGATGGCATAAACCCAAAGAACTGAAAAAGACAAGGTAAAATGAAAGGGTCCCAAATACCTTAGAGAGAGTCGATCAAGATATGTTTCTCGTTCAATAGGGTACCATTTGGGGAACTGATCCAAGATCCATGATATTGCAAACCATATTTCACAAACAATGGATGTCAGCCATAATCCATATGCATTCTGGACTGGGTGGAGAATTCTATAATGAAAAAAGAAACCTAGAATCACGAGCCGAAGAACAATTATCATTCTGTATGGATTTATTTTGCCTGAAGGAATGGGCAACTTTCTTGAAAGTGGCTGCCTGCCTTCGTCCATCCTGAAAAATAAATTTCAATTTTCAACAAATCTTTATAAACCCATTTGAATGAAATGATTTAACAGATTTCATTCCAGAGTCCAGACATTGCTTCAGATAATTCTTTGGTATGACTACCAAAATCAAATGACAGACATGAATATATACAATGAAGGGTCATATAATGGGCAAAAGAATTCATAAATTTGTGATACATTTCTGTTATCGATCAGCAAAAGGCATATGTTTGAAAGGAAAATCTATCATCTGGAATTGGCAATTAGAAAAACAGAAAGGCAACTAGCTTTCATTCATCAAAAAAAAAAAGCAACTAGCTTTCTGGTCATCTAGCAAAATTTACAAGCCTGAACTTCACTCATTTTAGAAGATAATTGGAACCCATCTTATTCAATCCACGGGAACCATTTTAAACCTGTTTATGATTTAGCTTTAGGCTCATTGACCGTGTAATGGTTGTGCATACAAGACATAGCCCACTACAAGAATTTTTTTTTTATTATATGGGCATTACTTAAACATAATTTAGAGGAATTTTATGAATTTGTGACAGATAATGTCTGATCATAACTGGATACTGTCAGGCAGTGGGGCACACCACATCGAAGCCCCAAGTGGAAAAGCAATTTCATGGAAAACAGAAACTCCCGAAAACCAATTCTTACACATCTCCAAAGCTCATACCCAGTAGAAAAACATCAGCAGACAGAATATACTAAAATCCTGCAATCAAGTTCACAATATGGCACTAAAAATGCAATAGAGTAGTGAAAATGATGTCTGAACTAAATTGGAAAATTATTACTCATATTTTCACCAAAAATGGCTCAACTTATATATAAGTAGGTTTAATATAAATTACATGCAAGCACGTAAATTCATTATGATAAGACTTCTATTTATTTATTTTTGGTTTCTTCCAAAACATTGGCCTCTTCTCTTTTTCTTCTCACATGTTATCCTTATTCCACTATGAAACTTCTTGAAGCTCGTTTCCCTAAGATTCTCTTCAAGAAAATTATTTTGTTGGTCAGGTATGAAAATTGCTGCTACTAAAGTTATACTTTATAAAAAAGAAGATTACATAATTCTTTTTAAAGTAAGTTCCACACATGGAAAACACCAGTAGCCTGTTTTATTACTCTTACTCTAGAGACTCTTCAGTGAGAAACTATGTTAATGTGCATGAAAGTGTCAATTCCAAGTAGAGATAATAGACACCATATCTTTACTCCAAATAATGAGAATGGACACTATACCTTTACATAAATAGAAATTAGCAAATTACAGCTTGTTGCATGCATGGGAGAGAGTTGTAGCAATATCAGAATGTTGTCAAGTTAGTTATACTACTTATATGGCTTCATAGGACATATAACAGATTTGAACGAATATATTTACCTATGAACTCTTCAACAGAGGTGCTACTACTATTTAATATTTACAGCTATCAGAAGTACCTTAAATTATAGAAAAACCTTTTTAATCAACAATTAAGGAATGCTTTTCAACTGCTATTAAAAACTCATATCTACTTCAGTAGTCACAGGGAAGTTTTCATATAGCCAGTGATAATTTACCAATACTATTTCTACATCTAATTAACTATCATACATAGGAATAATCTACTGCTACATTAGGAAAAAACATCAAGATAATGTTTTATTGGCAGATGACATAAAAACCAAATTAATGTTGCCATGATTCTTATTATTTGTGCCTAATGTTATTTACAGAAGCATTGGTTCCTTTGTAATTTCTCTGTATAGTTGCTAGCCGATTCCTTTTCCACAATCACCTCACACTCCTCCTCATCATCATCATCCAAGACTTATCCCAATTATATGGGCTTGTCTACATTAATCCTGTTTCACCATTCCATTCTGTTCAAATCTTCAATTAAAGAGTTTTACTTCAAATCTTCAATCACATTAGTCAAGGAACAGAACAAGTACTCAACTCAAATCCATGACAGAAAAGATAGAGATATCATAAGTGCATACTTGGGCAAATCAGGATCATCTGCATCATCTCCATCATAGTTCCCACCACCATTTTCACTCAGGTGCTTGACCATCTGCAATTTATCATTTTGCTTTTTCTTCCACTCCTCCATTCTGTCCTTCCATGCAACACTGCCATATCCATATACTGCCAAGTCTTTCTTAGGATCCATTGATCTCGGTTGCACTGCAACATTATTAGCAATCAGTACAGTATCCAAGAAAAAATTATTACATATCAAATGACATTGGAACAACATGCATCTAACACAGTAAAATATCAATCCAGCCAACCAACTTACAAGACATGGATGAATCAGGAAATGGCACTGGATGGATCCGTTTTCCATGACCCACAAAAGGAGGTATTATAAGAGCATGTCTATCAGGGGAAATCTCAGCATCCTACATAAAGAGCAAGCAAACTAACAAGGTCTAAGTTGCAGACCCAGATAACAATAAAAAAAGACTGGAAAATAGACATTGTTTTAGACTTTTAGTCAATTTACCTCTTGACCATAGGTCAGGAGAGGGATTTCAGGATTAAGGGAGGAAGAATGATCTGAAGGCATGGTGACCCCTGATGCATTGGCATTGGGCCCACGACCAACATTAAGGCGAGAAGAGAGAATGGCCTCGGCAGTATGTTGCGTGTCCCGACTCCGAAAATCGAACTCATTTTCCAAATCATCAATGCCATCCTCTTCTTCATCTCCGTCAACTCTGGGACTGCCTGCAAATTGCAAGCCATGTTAGGACTAATTCACAGGGGAGAAAAGAGAGAGAGAGAGAGAGAGAATCTCACCTTTGATGCGCTTGTATCTGGTTTTGCACTGAGGGCAAGCCTGATTGCCCTCCCTTCTCTCATACTCATAGCAAGGCCGGCACACAGGGAAAGCACATTCATTACAGGCTACAAAAGGCTCCCCATCCTCTGTAATCTCCACTTCGTCTCCACAAATCTGGCAGATTTGCCCACTTAATTCTCTCACAGACTTCACCTGTAAATGCGCAGAACCAGAGCTATAACTATATAGTTTCAAAATATCTATAAGATTAATAAAATCGTATGAAAACAATGAAAGTCCCGTGACTCGGTCCAGATTCCAAATATTACACCCCCACCCCCAAAAAATATAAATGAAGAAGGAGAAGAACTGCATGCAATAGGGTATCTAGACGACCTAGAAAACTGTAGGAACTAAACTGGGACTCACAAATTTCTTTTTCTTCCTTATTTACCGGCGGGTCAGGGGCGGGGGAAGGAGTTGGGAGTTGTGGACAAGTTCAGGAACAAGGGCTACAGTAAGACCCCCACATTTTTTGCCCCATCTACTATGCTAACATCTTCAGATATACAATGCAGAGCTTGGTGCAGAAATTTCAGAGATGTGTATCCCTACCCAGCAAAACTAAAGTGCAAACAAGCGTGACGATAGAGCCTAAAATAGTTTCTCTTAGAAAAAGCGAAAACCAAAACCCAAGACTATTAACTTCAAATCCAAAACCAGAATCAGGAAGAGAGATTCAGAGACAGGTATTTCCTCCTCCTGGGTAAGAAGGGGAAAATGAAACAAATAGAGCTTCAATAAAGAAAAAAAAAAAGATTATATTTCCCCTTGGACGAACCTAGAGCGCAAAAGTGAAAATGCGCAAACAACTACCCCCATAATCAACATCTGAAGTAAAATAGAAAAGAAGAGAAAACGGAGAATAAGTGAAAGAAGAGATTTTTATGGTTCTTACTCGTCCAATCTCATCTGCATTAATGAGGACGAACTCATTTCTGTTGTGGGAACCTGCAACAAGTCGACCTCCTGTGTCCATCACGCATACCCACCACTCGAAGCTCCTCAAATCAAAAATCCCAGAACAAAAATCGGCTGCTCTACCTCTTTCATGGCTCCAAAATGACCAAAAAGACTGCCTTTTCCCCTCAGCTCAGCTTCTTCGGCCCGCAGTTTCCTCATGCACCCATCACAAGAAAACCCAATCCCGCGGATAAAAATAAAACGTAGAGGACGAAGAAATAAATGTGAGAGAATAAAATACGCGATTAAAATAGAGAAAGAAAAGGGTCCTCAGGTGTATCCTCTCCGTTGCCTTCGACTTCTTCGTTTCTTTGAAAAAAAACCGTTTTCTTACAGATGGGTCTCTGCGACGGTAATAAGAAGTTGAGAGAACAGGTGACGCGAGTCCAGAGGGAGAGAGAGAGAGAGAGAATCCAGCAGTACTGAAATTTTAACGCGTAAGCGGGGGAAAGAGACGAAAATGGCGACAGGAGCAGAGAGCAAAAGATCGGCAGATATATCCATGTAACCGTGTGTCGTGAACGGAGCCCAGTGATGGTGGGGCCCGGGACGCTCCGCAACGCAGCTGCTGGTGTCTGCTCTTCATGGAGGAGAGATAAAGCAGAAAGAAGGTATTTTCGGAATTCTAATAGAAAATATATTCTTGCTTCCAGTTCTCAGAATTTTACACCTGAAAATGAAATCATGTATCCACTACCCCTTTCTTAATTTCTCGTGGCATTTCGAATTTACCATGAGAATTTAGACCAATATTCCTCACTGAATAAGTGGGCCTTTAGGGGTATTAAAGTGGGATTTGACTTTGTTGTAGTCTGATAAAATTCTTATTAAACCATTTGGATATTTCTCAAGATAATCTTAATACAATGTTCACATCTTGGTTTTCCATTTTTCCTTGGGTTGAATTGAATTAAACCAAATGGTTAGGAATCAAGATGACATTGATCACAGCTTTTATGGGGGATGCCACATCTGAATGGAATATGTAGATCAATGGTTCACTGAGGTGAAACTGAAGAATTTACTAGCAGATTAAGAGGGAAAATTAATTAGAGAATTTGCTTCATCAAAGAATTAGGAGTTAGATTTTGTTAAATGGGGTGTGCGTGTGTGTGTTAGGGGCCATTTTCGTAATGGCTGAAGTCACTGAATTAAACGATTCATTTGTGTTGTATTTTAAGTGGATAAGTCATTTAAGTTGTGAGTTCCTCAATGACTGCATGGACAATGTTCAAAGTATCCATATATTCTGGATGAGGCGTATCGGGTGTTTCGATCACACCCTTTGTTTTATTTTTTTCAGAAATTGTTGGTAACCTGCCTATTCCCCTAAAATGGGCCACTCCCCCACCCCCAAAAAAAAAAGCCCATATTTAATTCATCGATGACCAACTTATACGATACGATATGTATTGACCGATACATTAGTGTTATTTAAGCAGATCCAATTTATCCATCAGAAAGAAATACATGAAAGGAAATAAGTATACTGAGAATCCAAAACCAAAGAAGATTCGTAATGGGATCATTTCACCAGTTCAGCCATGTGAAGGAATGATGTAACTAACAAAAAAAAACATGCATTAATTAAAAAAAGAACCCACAAAATTCACATGTGTTGAGCTTCCAGTGGATTTTGGGCTGAAACTTGCCTCCCCATAGGATGATAATCAAGCAATAAAGAAGATGCTAATGTGTTAAATCTTTTTGCCTGCTTATCTGTCTCCCAAACCCAGACCCCATATGTCTTGTTTATATTTCCAGTGGGCCACTCATAGAAGCCCCCACCAAGAAAACAAAAAAGAATGGAAAAATGCCAACCCAAGAAATTGATCAAACCAAACCCTAATTTGTCAAACTTCTTTTTGGTGGGCAATCTGCACTGGGGACCAAGACAAAAACAAACTCTGCTCTTGGGTCCTCTAGTATTTCACATGGGTTCCCTTTTTTCTGGCATTTGAGAACTTTTTCTGTGAACCATGTGCTTTCTCCATGGGAGGTGTACATGGGCTGCAAGCTAGGCAATAACTTGTGATCTTAGGCTCTAAAATGCTACAATTCCAAATGTATCTTATATTCATATTATCTTCTTCACTAAAAGTCATTATTATTTCAGTCATCAAGAAATCTCTTAGTCTTAGGTTGACAATTGCTTTTGTTGAAACTTCATTTTTTTTTTTAATCCAATCAATGCAATACAGAAATCTCATACATTGGCCATTGCTTTTTCTCCCCCTTGTTTTTTCTATTCCAAGTGCTGAGTGGCACCTTCTGGTGCAACATTGGATAGCAGAAAGTGCAAAGGGAATATAGTTATTATTTACGGCCATAAGTCAGCACCACTCTCTTCACAAACTTTCAATGCCATTTTATACATCACTTTGAACTATTCAAGTTTCACTATTAATTCAATATAAATTATCGATGTGTTGTCATTATCATTAAAACCTCATTTACATTATTCTGAGCCAGCTTGTCAATCCAAGAAATTCATGGACAGTGGTGACAAAGAAAATCTTGGAATTTCCACAATCAATATGAATAGAAAGCATGGAGTTGCAAGAATTTTCAACACAATCTATACAAAAGACAGATAGAAAAGGAAACCAATGAAAGGAATGGATAGGTTTGCAGGATAACAAAAGATAATGAAATGGCTGAAAAAAGAAAAAAAGTAACATAGGAACACATTGATGAATAAATTTCTTTAGTTTCTCATCTTGAAGATATCTTTCACTTAATGCCACTCATTTAAATCGAAAGAATCTTTGCCAAACGGGGTCCAAAGGTCTTCAATTTAAATTCCTGTGTCTATTTTAGCCATATACCATGACATAACACCCTTATTTTATTCCTTTTATTTTTGGTAAATTTCAACAGGAAGACTATTGTGTACTAAGATTATCATGTTATATCAGACAAGGTCTAATATATCAAACTATCAAAGCTAGCCCTAGTTTATAAAGGCAGTCTGTTTTCTTGACACCCATCAAATGGTGGACACTAGCTCCCCTGCATTTTGTGGCATGAATGCAGTAAGCAAATTCTAAATGTTTCTCTATGTTGAACTACTTGGAAATCTAAACAAATCACTGCTTCCAACAGAACCTCTCTTTGTTTAATTTTGCAAGTATGGTTTTGTTTTCTAATGTGAGATGGTGACAACCATCAGAATTGTCAATCTACTCGGTGTCGAGTTGGTCGTAAGGCATCCCTTGTATTGATGAGGCATGGGTTCAAACTAAAAGAGGCATGCTATCTAGTTGTCATGGGGTCCAATACATCACTCAGAGCCAACGCCAGTCATTGAGAACTCCATTTGCTTGCAGATCTAGAACTGCAGAAGAGAGCTGGATGTTGACTGTCTTCTATTAATCAACTAAGGTAAACATAAAAGCTTCAATTGCACACTATTCATTAACTGAATTTGACCCAAATGGATCCCATTATCCTGAATTGAAGCCTGTGTGTTGCATCTATTGCTGTAAATCCCTTCCAATGGAAGGGGAATGAACTTAAAACCTATGGTTGATGATTGGAGTTTTCAGAGTCTAAATTAATATAGAATTGGGGCCTAGTAGTGACAAATGAGCATGGCCTCCCACACAAGATTTCATTTTATTAACACACCAGCATGTCTCTTGTTCTAACCACAAACAATCCCCCAAGTTACTTGGAGAATTATAAGAAGTGCATAAATAATCTTGTCATTGACCTGCTTTTCAGTTCTCACATTTAGCAGTCTTTCAGACTTCTCCCATCTGGAGAGGATTACTATCTTTTGTAATTCAACACGTACCATCTATCAGATGGGAGAAAAAGAAGGGAAAAATAGAAGAGAAATGATGGGTTCTAAATAAGAATGGTGGGGTAAAAGTTGGAAGAGAATATGGAGTAGTTTTTGAGATCTCTTGAGCCCAACTCAACCCAACCTAAATTTCCAGATTATCAAGTTGAGATTGGACCATGTGGCTTGATGTTCTTTAGGGTAGTAGTTGTCAACCTGAAACTGGAGGGCACTTTGAGTGCACAAGAAATTAAGCATCATGGTTCTTTTATTTTATTTTATTTTTTTGATCACTCAAGGTATCTTGTTTTTTTATTGTCATCCAACTGTGGCCACCCGGCATGAAATATGAATCCATATATAATATCATCATCATTCCCAAAAGTCTTATCCAAACTATATGACATTGGCTACATGAATCATGTTTTTCCATTTCACTCTATTTAATTTTAATGTCATATTCATTGTTAAATCATTTCTTATTACTTCGACCATTATCTTTTTTGGTTCTATCCCTCGCTCTTCTAGCCCCTTCAATTAGGGGTGTCCATGAAAAATCGAAAAATCGAATTGAACCGAGAAAATTGATGTGCAAAATGCGGTTAACTGAATCGATCGGTTTAGTTTTGGTTTGGAATTTTTGAAAAACCGAAGGACCGGTTCGATTTTCAGCTTACCTACTAAAAAATGGTAGTTAGCCGAACTAACCAATATATATGTTTATATGTATATTTTATATATATTTTTTAATATATGTCACATATTTTCTATATATTATATATAAATATATATTCATTATATATATAAATATATACTTATATTATATTTATAATAATCTATTTATGAATATATTATATATTATATATTTTTAAAATATTTATAATATATTATATATCATTTATTATTTATTATTTATTATAATATATATTATAAATATAAAAAAATCGAAAAACCAAAGAATCGAACTGGTCAAAAACCGAAACCGATGAACCAATTAACTGGTGGTACCAATTCTTTTTTGGTTTGGAAAAATGAAAAAACCAGTACCACCAGTTCAATTTACACAAATATGCCCATGGTTAACAGAACCGTGGACACCCCTACCTTCAACTACACTAATACATAACATTCTTAACACCTTCTCTTTTTATATTTTATCCAAATTTTATATTAGAAAAACTAGTTTGGACTTGAATCAACGACTGGTTCTGTTATTAAGGCTCGGTCTGTAAAAAGTATAAATGCAAATATGTACATTGCAAAACTTTGTATTTTATATTATTTTGTATGTATTATATTGTATATATTTATATTTGTACTCCTTCCAAACTGACCCTAACTTAGCAGATAAAAAAAACAGGAAAATTGGAATTTCAGTTAGATTTTCTCAACGTGGTTAAAATGTTGAACTGAATTGATTGAACAGATCCATTTTGACCCATTGAGTTTACCCTCATTTTGAAACCGGTTTACCCCAAAACCAGACGATCTACGGTGGTAATTTTCATTGTGTTCCAATTAAAAGGTTTAGTCAAGGAAAGTGTACCATAGGCGCTAGGTTTATGAGTATTTAATCAGTGGGCCGCCTCCATGATGTGGCAAACACAATTTGGGTACCATTTATATAATGTATTGTGGGCTGGGCCCCACTGGAATGAGATCCCACTAGCCTCGCTCAAAACATGTGTATGATTGTTTGATAGTTGACCCATTATTTAATGCAAAATATTAATATAATAATCTTAATTAATTCAGGGAATTGTGATGAAGAAATCATTGCTT